TGTTAACTGATCTAAGACCATTTGGTCCTGCATGGCTGTGAGCCTGAGGCCTGTTAGTTCCTTCCTTACAGCTATAAAACCATCTGTTGTGGCATTCACAAACATAGGGAATCTGTAATCAAATTGAACTGGTGAGAGCAGAGGTGAATGACCGGACACAGGCATGTGCGTGCACACATAACAATTATTCAATTTCATAGCTATAACCATGCAACAATGTGGTTAGCAAATCTCCACCACCTATTAGCATTTATGTGTTTACTATGAATAAACTCAGGATATAATGTGTAGGCTGGTCTTTGACTAAAGTCCCAAGATACTAAACATTAACGATAACACCAAAAAAAGAAAAACGTGAGTTTTGTCCAGGGCAACAGCTTGGTCCTGACGTAAGAGCGTTCCATCGCTGGTCCAACGTCGGCTAAGCTCGTTAGCTCGTGTGTGTGTATTTCATCGGATCAGCAGGTAGCGGCGCTTGGCTCACACTTCGCTGCTGTGTTGTTTCAACGCAGCCTCACTTAATCAAGGTGTGTGAGTGAGTGAATGTGCTGGGTTGCGGTGCTTAGCCCTCGTCCCTGGTGGCTCTGGCACCTTTTTACAGTGGCTGACGGGAATCAAGGTTGGTCTTTCTGCTACCTTAACTGCTGTGTGCGTTGTCATCAGCTAGAGCTCCTCTATCACGACCCAGTCCTTGGCTGCAGATCATGTAGAGGTTCAGAGGCTGGAGCCAGGAGAGCTGCTTTCACCTGTTGAAAATCTAAGGAAGAACGCTGGACAGGGTTTTACGCTATTGTAAATGGTAACAGATTTTCCTTCAGCCAGTTTATTTTTGATTTGATTTGATTTTATTCTTTCAAACATGCAGAACAAATGACATCAACACATACATAATTACACAAAGCCAACCACTGCTAATCCAGAATCAGTTTGCTTATACCTAGTACAGGTTTGAATGGAGTAGGAAGAAGTCAGACTTATCCAGTCCTACCCCAGAACATCATCTTATACAAAAAATTTCATGCATCATTGGCTGCAAGCAGTATCTAAACATAGTAAAGTTCTCTTCTTCACCAACAAGTAATACACAGAAAACTTAAAACAGAGTGTTTCCTTCATGCATTCTTGATTAAATCTCTAATTTTTGCTTATATCTTGAATGACACATACATTTATATTTATATTTAAACTCCTCGATTCTAGTACTGTTTTTCATGTCCACACTTAAATTATTCCATAAT